CTCCCCTCAGGCTTCCTGCCAGGTCGGCAGAGACTTTGTTGAGTCTGCATCGCAGTTGGACTTCTCACTGCTTTCTCTCCCTTCTCTTCAAAGGTGGTAGTCCCTACTACATACCCCAAGGTCTGTCCCAACTACTGCTTGCGGAGACCTTAACCTGCGAAGGCACTGTCAACCATTCAGAGAAGTACCTGGAGCATAGTGAACACTATGTAAATCTTTTTCAATACGATTAAGTAGGTAATCTAGAAAGACAGCACCTTCATTACTCATCCCACTTAGAGAAGATGTTCTAGCTAATGTTCAATATTGGGTTACTTTAAAGAGTCTCTGAGTCTACTAATCGGGATGAGGAAACAGTAATACCACTAATGCAGCCACTGTATTACTATGCTTGTGCTTTGGGTTTTCCCTCTCATTTTCATCTTTTCTGTGCTTGATCTCACCAATTCAATTTCTCATCACTTACAAGGGCGTTTTCTAACATTTTAAATTTAGGTTCAACAACTTTGGCTAATGCCTAACGAGAACTCACATATAACCCCTATGGCATCTAGAATCCAGACTTCTCAGAGTCTTCCCATGTCAACCCAAGGATTGACTGGTCTCAGGCTGTGTCACAGGAGGAAAACGAGTGGACTCTGGCCTTGGGACCCTGGAGTCCTCCACAGCTCTTCACTTGCAGATCTGGAGCTGAGCTTTATTCATCAACTCCTTCATTCAGTCAATAAATCTTCACTTCTCACAGCCATGAAGAAGAAAGACAAGCTCCTGCTCTCGAGGCTCTTACCCTCTGGTGTGGAAAGGCCACACCAGGTAATAAATGAGACAATTAGAGATGAGGTAAATACTGTGGAGAAGATGACCACACAGTAAAGAGCCCTGGCTAGGGCCTATATTAAGGAAGGCCTCTCGCAAGACACTTGATTTAAGAAATTAAGGGTGAGAAACCAGAAAAGTGCCTGGGGAAGCAAGTTTCAGGCATGTGGAACAGCAAATGAAATGAGTGTGCTTGGCTGCTGGAAGAACACCAGGGAGGCCAGTCTGGGCTGAACAGTAGTAAGCCAGGGAGAATGTGGTACCCAGGTGAAGTTGGAGAGATGGGGCCCGATCCTGGAGGGCCTTAAAAGCCATGGAATAAATTAGGGCTTCATTCTAACTACCATGAGAACCACCAAATGATTTTAAGGAGGGCTGACATTACACAATTCATGTTCTTAAAAGATTACACTGACTAAACACAAGCTCAACATTGAAGAAGGGAACTGAATTACAATTTACTAAAAGATGTGGGTACTCTCAGATTCCTGGGTGATGCTCTATGTTAGCATTGTGTAAACATGTCTAAGGGCTTTTGGGCCAACCCGTGGCTGGTTTAATGAGTTGCTCTCAGGGCACTAAGAATAAACAACACTGTACATTGATTAAAATCATCTCTAGACCTGAAAAAAAAATCGTTCTGCCCATACTCAGAAATTGTACCCATACTCTCATCTCACTAAGCTCATTCCTTCTTATTTCTATTTATAGCTTATCGCCTGGCATGGGATAATCTGTATAAATCTTCTAAGCCAACCCTTAGTCGTAGCTTCTCTAGAATAATTGTTAGCTATATCACTTTGGCTTGAAATGGGAACCATTTTTTGGCCTCTCCTGGGTATGGCATCAGTCTGTCAATGGTGGCCTCAGCAAAGACAGGAACTCCTGCCAAAGACCCATATGTAAATGGGACATGCTTGTTTCTAATTTTCTCTTTCAGACTGAGAACTGACTTACCAAAGACAAGCTGTGGAGGAGAGTGCAGAGCTAATGGAAGGAGTAGGGAGGAGTCTGAAGGGCCAGGAATGAAGGGGGCCAGCCTGTCCAGGGGAAAAGCGGGGATTACTGGGGAAAATGAGCTATCTGGTATCATTACGTTAAGTGCCATTGGACTGATGTGTAAGGTGGGCAGAATGGGCCAGGAACCCAGTTAAGTGTGGAAAGATTCCAAATTGGTGTCAAGGAGAGCAACTGTTAGCAGAGAAAGCTTTAAAGGACAGATAGTTAATACTTGTATCTCTGCTTCAGTCATCTCAAAAAAAAGGTAAGAGGTTCTTCTCTCCTGTTGATGGAGTTTTCCCTGACATTAAGTCGATGGGATCAAAAACAAGCACCGACAGCTAATTTGCTTCCACTCCCCAAGTTACTTTTATTTATTCCTGGTAATTAACATGAGGATTGCTTTTCCCTCCCTCCCTACTCTACCCCGCCTTCACATGCACATGCACACACGTGCACGCACACATATCAGGCAATCTAGAAAAGTCGTGCCCAGCCAAACCCTCCTGAATTTATAGAACTCCAACTAATTGGTAGGTTTGGAAGCAGCGCCGAGCCAAGCAAGGCCAAGTTATGAATGAATGAAATGTAAGGACTCTAATTAATATAGACTGCCAATTTGAACTTCTTCTGCAATTTAAAACATTTCTTTAACGTAATCTTTCTCTATTAGATAAGTTAATCGTTTGAACAATTCAGGCCTACAATCAATGTGATCAGATAAACTAAATTTAGATAAGAAAACATGTGATCTGATTGGAGGTGGAATGGAACCAGCCTCGGAATTCAAAACATGTCATTTTTATTTTCTGGGCTATGTTGCTATGTTGGTGGGGGAGCTCTTAGACCCATTCTGAATATGGTCAGATGGGAGAGGCAGTGTGCAGGGAGGAAAATATAATATGAGAAGGGTAGAGATACCCCTAAAAAACTCATATCTTAATGGAGGGCAAGTACCTTAAGTTCAAGTGTGTGTGTGGCTGTGGCTGTTTTTTAAGAAAGTAAATAAATAAATGAACTTTGTCTTCTCTGAATCACTTTGGTTAGTCACATTTAGATGCCAAGTTTAAGTTCCCAGGTCTCTCCTGGCTGGTGGTTCGCGCAGAAGCTGTGCGGTGCTAATCCCTACTCTGTGTCATTCACCTTTGAAGTCACCCAAACGCGGTACCTCTAAAAATCAAATTACCACCTGGCAGCAAGCCTCCTGAGTTTTCCTCCACATTACTCAGGATTTCCAAATGACTGCTAAATCTGAATCTTGGTCTCCTTCCACCCAGCAAGTTTCCATGAAACTCCAAAACTAAGAAATCCTTTATGCCACTTGACAACAAGAACATAAAATCACAGAGACAATAAAAAGGAGGACTATGAAGCAGCAAAAGAAAACAGAAACTGTTAAGGATAATGAGAAAAGTGAAATTAGGCCTGGGGCACCACCACCCAGGCCAGTCCCATGCCTTACTGGTAAAGGGCTGGTGGCAGAGCAGATCTGCCTGTTGGAACCGCCTAAAGATGAGAGAAGGCGCAGAAGTATGTCCTTGGCTCTCATTAGAGGCACAAAGCCCTTCTGAAAGAATCTTAAAATATCTTCCACTCATGTCGCCAGTTCTGAAAGCTGGGAGCGGTGTCCTTTCTGCTTCCCCATCATCGAGGGCTCTTGTCACCTTTCACGGGAGTGAGCTCTCTCAGGAGAGGGTGCACTTCGGGGCTGTCTCAGTCACACTGAAGGGCCCACAGGGATGTCCCTGGGGCAGGAAGCAGCGCATACCTTTGAAGCCTGGACTCCTCCTGGGAAGGGCTCATTACTCTTCAGTGTGGAGGTTTTCTGAAATCAATCCTGCCTGTGCTAAGTAATTAAAACACAAGCAGGAGGCTGGTTCTAGTTTCCTTATAAATAAACTGAAAATAATGAAATGTTAGGAACTGGCATTGACTGCCAAGTTTTATGGCTGCCCCCTAATTACTTTGCTACAATACAAATTTTTGTGTGTGTCCAACATAATTATTTGATAACCGTGACCATAGTTCCCAAAACAATCAAGGACTTTAATCATGAATTGAAAGACAGAAAAATCACTTGACAAACGTTTGCCCTCCTGCCTAACTAGAGTGCTGAGTTTGTATATTTTGCTGCCTACATGAATATTTATCATGAGCAGAGACAGGCCTGACAAAAAACGATTATGGAAAGTGGAAAGCCCAACTGGCCTATAAAACTGCAGCGCCCTATTCCTCAACGGGTGCTGCAACCACCCTGTGGGGCCTGGGGTGGGGGAGGGAATCAAACCACAGGATGAAGGAGGTAAATGTTTGGGATGCTTTCATTTTACTGCATTCAAGGGTGTGGAGAGAACATTATGTTTATGCCAAAAATAAACATGGCAATACTGTGGAACAGGATGCAGTATTCACACAAATGTCTCGGTATGACAAAGACATGGCATGCACAGGGGCCCTCCTTCATTTGGGGGGTTCTCTGTGGAAGGTTTGTGAAGTGCTCCTGCAGTGTCAGGAAACCAGGAGATGCCAAATAAAAAGGTAGGTGTTTCTGATGTGCAAGTTTCTACTCTAGATTAGAATAGATGAGTTTCACATCTCATATCAATGTGAATAATGGGCATTTAAAGCACCTTCTAGATAATTGGTTCTTTGCCCCCC